ACATCAACAATTATATTCTTTACCCCAAACAAGTTTGTATAAATAACAGTTATCAAACTCATATTAACATAACGGCAACATAACAAAGTTAGGGTAAAGGGTATCAGTAGCCACTAGAGATTCAAAGGCTTTAAAGGTCCATGTGATAAACACACCATAACCAAACCAACCTTATTCTTCAATTGATTAAATGTGTCTCTGAAATAAAATATTCCGTAATCTTGCAAATAACATATCCGTTGGTATAGGTCTAGTGGTTAGGACGATGAGATGGTGGTAGATAGAGATAGTCTAAGGGTTTGATATTCTCCCTCGGATGTATTGGCGATTTAAGTGAACGGTCATGACGGTGGCGGTGCTGATTAGCTCTATCAGAAGATTAGTCTGGTGGCGGTAAGCTAGTTGGACCACCCCCCCCCCCCACCCTTTGGTGTAAAATGAATAAATAAATAGTGCTCAATAAAAACATAACGCAGTCCACAACAAGGGTATGTGATGTCTTTTTGGAATACAATTATCATCAGGGCCTTTACAATAAAAAATGCGTGTATAAACACAAATATTTGTTTAACGAACTAAAATGTATTTGTATAAAAAGCTTCTATTTATTGGGATACTCTGAACTCAGTACTATTATAGCTCACTTGTTTATCTAAATAGATTTGTAGTTAGTCGACATATTTTATTTTCTTTGGGCAGTGTTTTGTGTAATCGGATTGAGGGGCATGAGACATTAACTAAAGGTTAATGCATACTACTCTAATACAAACGATTTTGTAAATAAAAACTAAATAAGATTTCTGTTGTAAAAGTCACTAGGCAAAAGGGTGTTATCTATAAAGCAACTTCGAAAATGAAAGGGTGATATGATCCTTGTGATGTATCAATTGATCGTGTGAAGGTGTCTTGATTCTCCATTGGAGGACACCTGGAGGCTTCAAGAGGTGATTAATTTCATGGAGGTGATTAAATATTACAATGCAAGACCTAGATTACAGTTGACAAAAAATAATGTCAGGGGATTAATCATTCTCCAAATTAGTTTTGAGCTCCGTGTCACATCACAGCATGGCGGCGTTCCACCTAAGTCTGTGGGGCTCTGAATCCGGTCCCAAGAAGAAAGATTAAAAAAAGTAAAAATATTGAGGTTGGGCTATGTGTCAAAAAGTGTAGCAAAACCTTTGTTTACAGAAGAAAAGCATTTGGAGAAGTAGCTTTGCTTTATTGCTTTTTTAGAATTTCATTACCTTACTAAATATAAATTGTTTGTACAGAAGTCTCCAGGGTCATCAATATTCTCAAAATGGGCATCAGGTCCTGTGAATAGAAGTAAAAGAGAGTTTATGGAGAATAAAGTGGCAAATAGAAAACATTAATACCAGAACAAACCATGAAACACGTTTTGGACAATTACGTAAGATTGCCTTTTTTACAAACCATGAAATATAATTTATAAGAATCTGCTTTTACAATCCATTAGAGGCACGTCTTGCCAAAGTCTTTTGAATTAGAGGGGGTGTACGTTTCTGAGTGCTTTGGTGTGCCCGAGGGACGTCTTGTCAAAGTCTCTTCTATCAAGAAATGTACACCTCTTACCCTTATAGCTCACTCCACCTGGAAAGAAGTGTCGTCTTCCTCCTTGTTAAGCTTCAGGCTTTTAATTTTACTTTCTTGGACATTCACGTGGTGGGTCTTCACCATCGGATCAATTTCTTCAGCCATCTTTTCATCTTCAGTTTTTCTTAGATCTCAGTACTTTCACCTTACAACCTCTCCAGAGTCTCACCCCTTTCGGATACCCGTTAAAAATACTTGGAGGATGGTTTGGATTAATAGGAATATTAAATTACTAAAAATTAGACTATTTTAAAGATTTCTACAAATCTTTAGAAAAATATATTTGATTAATTAGTGGGTATATTATATTAATATGTTTGATTTAGAGGAATAAATTGGTAGATATGTTATTTAAATTACAGGATGATTCTTTAATTCAATATATTATTATATTATTTTTTAATATTGATTATTATTTAGATTATTATAACTCCTTTGCATTTAAAAACTTAGCAAAAATAACCTCATAATAAAAGTTTAGAAAATCAACAAAGCACCCCTACCAACTCAGCCACTACCGTCCGTCGGCAACCACCGCAAGCCACAGGCAACCTAACGGTGCATGGAAGATAGGAAATGACTTATGTGTGCCGTATGGCTATTTCTGGTTGAAGATCTGGCTAGAAATGGTCAGACATGACAGATCTGGCTGTCAACAGCCAGATCGACACATCGATGGCCTGTGACGGCCAGGTATTTGGCAGAAAATGGCCATAAATTTGTTTTGAATTCAAAGGTAATTTTGTCCAAAAGGTTAATTAATTGAGGTGAAATAGTAAAAGCATATTCTTGTAAATAAATTTAAAAATAAGGGCATTATTATCTTAAAATTTTATTAATAAGGGATAAAATTGTAACAAAAAAGATAACTCATGTAATCTTAAAATACCTTAAAAAATGGAGGTAATGAGGTTAACTTCAATATTACCAATAGCAACCACTATTGATATTTGAAGATTACTGGTATTTTATATTACTTGACAACCAAACATGACAATCAAGTAATATAAGATGACTTAACCTTAATAATCTCATATAACCTCGAACCAAACGCCCCTTGTTACTATCAAACCACTAAAAATACTTTTACTCTCATTTTTATTTTATTTTATAGGAAACACCAGTATATTAAAATATAGTTTAAATATACAAAGGTGGTCTCGGAATCTACTGTAGAAGAATTAAATCTTTACAAAAATCTCAAAAACTTAACAAGTCTTGGGTAAACTATGCAATATGAACACTAAAAAGAGAGATTACATCAGCCCATAAAACCACAAAAAACAGAAAACTCCTATCCGGTTTTAATA